TTCCGGCACCCACTGCCTGGCATTTCTGGGAACCTGGTAGCGAACCAGCAGTTTGCCTACTAAACTGAATCTTTGTCGGCCGCTGATCGACCGGATGGAGAAAATTTTGTGCAGTATTGTAGTATAAGCACAGGGGCAGGATGCAAAAAATTGAGAAAAATATATCCGCCACCCACTGCCTGGCATTTCTGGGCACCTGGTAGCCAAGCAGCGATTTGCCTACTAAATTGAGTTTTGCTGAGCCGCTAATCGACCGGACGGGGGAAATTTGTATGTAGGAATGAAGTTTATGAGATCAAATATTGGAAAAATATAATTTATTCTGCTAAATAATCATGGACTGCTTTTCAGACATATTCCAAAATAGGAATTAGCTTGTCAAGAAATAAAATAATACATCCATACAAATACATACATAGTGAAATATGTTTGTACGCTTTTTTTTTAATTTTAGGTGAATAAACTCAACCGAAAAGACCAAATTTACCATAATATATTGAGTTGATGTGGAAAATTCAAAGAGAGGATCGCAATTCATAATATTAGGGATGTAGTCCAATTTTGGAGGCACTATTTGTGCAAAGTTTTATCCGAATATATTCATTGGTGTTTGATTTGTGTACTGGCTAGTGAAAGAATCATATGGAATTAATATATGTGGAAAGTATGCGTGGTTTTGGTCCGATTTCGACAGCACTGTAACATAGGAATGTCAGGATAATCTAACGTACCGAATTTGAAATCGGTCGAGTAGGTCCGGAGATATGTTATTTCACCTAAAAGTGAGGGGTGTCACGCCCATCGTCCAATTTTGACACCGGCTCCTATTAAGCACTCTTATACTATCCCGGATATAAAATTTAATGGCAATAAATATTTCTTTGGTTGATTTAGCGTAAGAGGTTTGGGGAATATGTACATTAAACCTATTAGAGGGTGGGGCCACCCCACAGATGCCCTACTCTAATGCGATCTTTATTACCAGAAGACAGTCTTGCATCTTATTGTGGAGCTTAGTTTTGGCCCTTTATAAGTTTTCGAATACCAAACCCCTTCCAAGTTTCATCAAGATCTCTCTATTTTTGCACGGATGACAGACAGACAGTCACTCGAAATTCCACTCGTCTCGTCATACTGATCATTTGTATATATACTTGTATAATTCTATATCTTACTCGATTATTTTGTGAGACAAATAAACGTTAGGTAAATAAAACTATTATCCGTTGTAGCAACATGTTGCAAGAATACAAAAAGTAGGGTTCGAGACTCAACACAGTGTATGATCTCAAACAATACTAGGAGCGGTAGCTACGTTAAAATATAGTCAAACAACACATCAGTATTCCGGTTAGAAATCAAATTATTTGTGTTGTATAATGTTAAGTCGACTTAAGCTTTTTTAACATACATTATTTTATGTATGCATCAGTGGCTTTATACGTGATTTGTGTTAATTTTCATGTCTATAAACATACACTTTTTTCCACTTACATCCAAAACCTCCACACAATGATCTGTGTTCCACACATTCTGACAATCAATCCAAGGCAATTTTAGGGAAAACAATTTACTTAAAAACATAATCGGATAGGCGATGACCACCGAATAGTAGCAGGTACAAATAAAGTTGACAATTACTATAGCGAAGCCGGCGCCTGAAAATGAAAATGTAAGAAGCAGAATAACAATTTTAGATATTATTGAATATTTTTTAATTAACCTTTAAATAGCGGTGCTAAGCGGAAAACACCAATACAGCCAACGCTCGAAAATTGTCCCATCACAATTTCCATAAAAAATAACGGAATGCCGCAAAGGAATAACATCAACAGATAAGGCACCAAAAATGCGCCTAAAAAAGCAGAAATGAATTTAAAAAAAGTAAAAAGGAAAAATTATAAAAAAGTAGAAAAATTCATGAATCAAATTATAAAACATAAAATTACAAAAAACAATAAGTGAAAAATAGAAAGCGGAAAGTTAAAGGAAAAAAAATAATTGAGCCTCCTTCGAGCCGGATTTGAACCAGCGACCTATGGATTTCAACATATCAAGATTGCAGTAGAAAATGGCAATGCGAAGCGTTTTATCAATTAACCCAATATCTTGATGATGATGTTCATCATTGGGGTCGAATATACCGCAGCACCGCCACTCTATTTAACAACTGAACTTCTACAGTCCACCGCTCTACCAACTGAGCTATCGAAGGCGTTACTTAACGGCTGGAAAATAACACTTTTAGCTAGTTTAACGGTGCACCAAACGAAAGTCAGCGCGCGCGCACCACAAATGCAAAGGAGAAAGAAATTCCATACACAAAAGGTTCAACGAATGCCACCACCACATGTATGTATATGTATGTGTGTATGTATGTGTGTCTATACGTGTGTCATGTGTATGTATGCATGTATGTAAGTGTGTCACAGCAGCATGCTTTTGCATATTTATTGGCGAATGAATATTCTCTGAATATTTTTAAAATAGCTTTCAATGTGAATTAGACGAAAGCAACACACAAATAATTGTATAAAAGCGCATAAAAACAAACAAACGCAGAGAAAAAAACAAGCGGAAAAAATAAAAGCAAAAATAAATTGCATTACGGCAATTATGGTGTGAAGCAATTTCGTATTCCTGTAGTGTACGACAATGTTTGTGTGTGTAGCTGTGTGAACTGCTCGTTGCTATTGTGATTACTGTATTTGCATAAATAAAGACTAAATTAACAATTTGAAGCAATTTGATGATGAACAGCAATCTAAAGGTAGTGCTAATGTGCGCTTATAAAAGAAGATTTAGCAAAAAACGTTAATCAAATCAAGACTCGACAGAAGCTTAAGCAAAACTGTTCGTTGAAGTAGTTAGGAATTTTTACACCCTAAACAGGGTGTACGAAGTTTGCCACGACATTTGTAACACTCAAAAAAGAAACGTCGGGGACCCTATAAAGTATACATATACATATGTAAATGATCAGCATGATGAACTGAGTCGATTTAACCATAGCATAATCTATATATAGATTTAAATTTTTGAGACATCGATCTGAAGTTTTGCAGACGTCATTTTCTCACTAATTTTATCGAAACCACCGATAACGGACCACTCTAGCATATAGCAGCCATACAAACTGAACGATCGGAATCGGGTGTTTGTATGGAAAACTTTTTCATTTGACGAGATATCTTCAAGAAAATAAGCACTAATTATTACCGATAGCAATGGTGCAATATCTTAAGAAATTGTGTAAATCGGATCACTATAGTATATAGCTGCAATATAAACTGATCGATAAAACTCAAGTACTTCAATGGAAAACTTTTTTATTTGACAATATATCTTCACGAGATTTTGCATATATTATTGCCTAAGGCAGTGCTATAATTAGCGAACATATTGTTCAGATCGAATCACTATAGCATCTAGCTGCCATACAAACTGACCGATCAAAATCAGGACAAAGATCTTTTTATACCCTTTTATGCCGTAAGAAATGCACTTGCAAAGGGTATTATAATGAAGTTAAGATTTTTTTTTGTGTTTAAAATACCAAGCGCATACTTACCGCCACCGCTGCGATAGCAGAGATATGGAAAACGCCACACATTGCCAATGCCCACCGCATAGCCAATACAGGACAACATAAACTCTGTTTTTGAGGCCCATTGACCGCGATCAGCATCACGCTCGGCAGTTTTCACACCAGCGGGTGTGGACTTGGCTGACGTGATATTCGTAGGCACCTGTGTGTAAGCGTCGGCTGGTCCATTGCCAGGATGTGAATTGCTGCGACTGAACATTTCCGATGATTTGTTATTTTAAGTTATTTCAAAAATTAGCTGAACAAACACTTTACACAAATAAAAACAGCAAAATACAATATTTTTAAACTTCTTCTCATTGTTGGCAGTGCTTTTGAATAACAATATACTCGCTTTCTGATATTTTCTATAGCACGAATTCATACAATAACTCAGAGTTTAGCAGCCGACAGTAAGAACTTTAAATAATTTTATAAAAAAATTTGTATAAAATTTATTATAAAACAATTTGTTACTTGTATCACAGCAGTTTCTTATTATATTATATATAATATTTGCACATAATTTGTACTGAAGTGCGTATGAGTAATATAATTTTTGTACCAAATACCATTAGCATTCATTTAACACTTCTTGTCATTTTTGTTGTAATAACACACCACTTGTTGCGCAAAAATGATTATTTTTCAAAGGCATAAGCGCAAGGACCAAAATTTTGACACCAGTCAATAACTCTTTTTGTCAGATGCATCGCTTGCTGTTATCACACGCGCCATTACTGTACTAAACGCTACCGACCACTTTAGTTTATTACACGCTCGCCGTCCATCGATAACTGACTCAAAATCTCTTTAGGCGTGCAGTTTTTAGTGAACGTTCACGAAATCACCAGTGAACTTGCATGATTTTTTCTAAACACTTGCCCATCTGTCTGCCCGCATTTGCTTTTTACAGCAACCAATTTTCTAAATAGTAATCAGCATGCGCTCCCACATCGCTACTTGAGTGTGTGTGTGTGTGTGTGTGTATGTGCTTCTAGAGATTTTATTGCTATTAAAATGACACTTACACAAATCGCGCGGCCAGTTGATGGAAAGCTTGATGATGACGTCGCAACATTTCGTGTAGCACATGCACGCACATACACACATGCCAGTATGATTTCTTTGCCTACGAAGGCGCTCTGACGGCCTAGTCGCACTACTTACATAAGTGAATTTAGCAATGAATGCGCCGAGACAAAAGATTTAACACCTAAAAGAATAAATTGAGATCATTTAAAATTGCGCTTAAATGTGCGCATTAACGGTCGCATATACATACAAACATTTGTATGTACATATGTAGATGTGTCTAAATTTGAGTGGAGCTAAATAAATACATATGTATGTGTGAATGTGTGAAAACGTGTTGCTGATTTATTCTATTTTATACCGGCGGGATAATTCAGGCATAGAGTATAATCGTTTTATGCAACTAACGGTCATTTGGAATGAAAATAGTAAACATTACAAATTGATATATTGCTTTGAACAGATCACTCTTCTTAAGCAACGGTTAATTCGAAAGTTATACCGTATGCATATTCAAAGAAGTAATGTCCACCCACACTTAACGCTGCCTCTTTTCTTATATTTATTTATTATTTAAACATAACATATATGGTATATACTCCGTGCATTGTTGCTATTTTATAATTTCCATAAGTTCATATAACAATATACATGTGTATGCACATATTCATGGATCTCACAATGTCTGATTCACATGAACGTTTTCTCCTCTTATTTATTTAAATTTAGTTCGTGGCTATTTTTATTTTTATAGAAGTCACTATGCCAACAATGCGCTAACCCGGACGTTCCACGTTCAAGAAATTGCTTTCAAGTTGCAATACACTCACAATTTTCTACTACTACACCCTCACTTTTCGAACTTGAACGTCGTCTTGATATGAATTTTTCCATACAAGTTGTGTGGCAACTTGCCGATTAAATTAAATAGTTTTATATTATTTTGCAAACAAATGGCATGCAATTGTCGACAATATGAATATTTCGTTATATTCATGGATTGCTATCATAAAAGCACACAATTTTGATTTTGAATATACCATACTTTAAAATTGTTTTGGTACAACTTAGATAGAATTTCTCAACTCCTTTCTTTCTTGGCATTCCATCTTTCTGTTAAAGTATTTATTTCGTGCAAAAACTTTAAGAATTTTTAATGGTTTTAATTACGACGGTATCTTGTTAGTATTGGGTCGTTAACTAAGTAATTTCGTTTGATGATAACAGCTGATCTTGTTGCAATGTCGATCTGGAGGATGCACCACGTCAAGAAAAGCCTCTTGAAGCCGATGTGGATAAAATAAAGTCGTTGGTTGATGTAAATCGTCGAATAACAACTCAAGAGATTGCTGAAAGTTTAACTTTGTCTAAAGCGACCGTTCACGGCACTCAATACAAAAATCGTGTTTAAATTGCACTAAGCAAACGAAATTACTTAGTGAACTACACAATATTATTGATTATTAAGTTGCTTGTAGCTTACATCACGACTGTCGATTTAAATTAATTTTGACAAGTAGTTTATGTGATCAACTTGAAAGCTAGTTCTTGATGGGTTAACTGCAGCGTTAATTATTCATACAAATTAACACATGCATATATTGTACTTACGTATGCATATGCATGGAAATAGGACCCAAACTTTATGTTTAGCATACTAAAAGGATGGTCTTTGCTGCCTGAACGCATGCTTTGTATTTTTTCTCGTTTAACCCGGCAAATTCTAAACGAATACGAAGCAAAAGCAGTTAAAATGTGTACAGTACAAATAAAAATTACTTTACGTTTATTTTTCATTTCTATTAAACACTCTGTGTGCTACATATATAATATGTTAAGATAAAATTAAAGCATTAAATCTAATTACACGATTAATCTGCTATATAAGTAGCTTTAAACAACGTTTATCTATTAAATAAATTATTATAAAGTTTAGGAAAAGTCAACAACATTAGAGAATGTATATTATATAATATACGTTCTCTGACTATGGCACCCTGTGAGAGCTGCATTATCTTCATTTGTCTGCCATTCTATCGTTTGAAAATTTTGACAGCTTGGCGCAAATTTAATAATTGAATAGTTCTTTTGTTTGAATTTTGATTGGAATTGTACATATTTAGTGTTTTTTATTTACATTTATAGAGTGATTATCAATATTTCAATATTTTCAATATACAAACAAAAACGTCCGATGGCGCCTACCAAGCACGCAAATGGAAGTGTGACTGCCGCAGCTCTGACCACATTAGGTGAATCTACAAATGATTCGGCCACACAGCAGGCACTTAGTTATGTGCGAGACTTTTGTACGCATGCCACAAATTACCGAAACCAACAAACTATTGAATCATTAGCGTTGTTAAATCGCTCTGCTTCATTACTTAGCACAACTGTACATCCACAATTATTTAATCCTTTGCAGTTGGAAACATCCAAACTATTCATAGACTTGCATGCGGTTATGGGCAATTTAGCTGCCGACTCCGATGCACTTTGGGCTTGCGTAGCGCTTTTGCAACATTTAAGTCGAAATTTGACAGCACGCCGCGCATTAGTGGAGGATTTTCGTTTTGTGCCGCTTTTATCTTTCGTGCTTAAACGTTCGCATGGACAAGAGAAGATTCAAAGATTATTAACACTCATGCAAGATTTAACATATGGCATACAAATAAGCTGGGAAGAACCATATTTAATAGTTCTACTCGAACAGCTTGTAAATTTAATATATCAAGCCACTGAGGACAGTGAGGACAGTCTGGCACAGTTGGCTCTGTCTGTGTTAATCAATTTGTGCTACAAAAATTTTGTGGTGATGTTTTTATTCTTACGTTCTGTAAATATTTCAAATTTTACGAAACGCATACAAAGTTTTGGTATGCTGGCCAGTAAAATGTTGATAATACTCAGTGAAGATACGCATGCGCCGAATCAAAAGGATTTGGAGCTATTTATACGTTCCACATTTGCTACAGTTGAGGAATGTATCAAAAGTTGGAATGTGCCATATTTACAGCATTTAATAGAATTTCTACTGGATTCCAAGTCACACACGTGCCTACATCGCTCAATGCTAAGCTACACACATTATTGTGAAGATGTAGAGCGTCTACTTAACGTATGTACTTCTATTTAAATTTGTTTGTTTGATGTATAACATCAATCGGTATAATTGCAGCAATTGGAATCCTGTGGTCTCATGGATGATGCAGAAGAGCAGATCTCCAAGCAACAGCATGCATGCCTAAGCTTAATTTTCCGACTGATACGCTATATCTTACAATTGAGCACAATACCTCAAATTGATGGCAAAGAAAATGTAATAAGCCTGGACTCGAATGTGCCAAGAATATTTGAGCTGCTTGGCAAGTGGTTGGATTCCGATATATGTGGTGTTGATACTGTGCATTTACTAAATGGTTTAATAACATTGGGTATTTACATCTTTAAAAATATTTAAATCGTTTTATTTATTTGATATAATTTTGTAACAGTTCCTAAGGAGTCGATACCGGCACGCATTGCCCGTGATCCCTCGTACATCGTGCAATTAATTAGTACATCTGAAAAACCGGAGACAAGCGCGCGACACATATCGGTAATCCTTCAACTGCTGTCATCGCTCTTACATCACCCGAAGACGGAAAAATTGGTTTTATCGCGTATAACGGAGTCATATTTTGACAAAATGTTTGCACAGCTAATAAGCAATGGCCGAACAGATATACCACTGAATGCAACGACACCGGAGGAGATTGAAAAATACACCTACTGCCTGCTGTTATTAATCAATTTCGCGAGTGTGGCGAAGAAGGCGTATTTTGAGAAATGTTGCACGCTCTTGCAATTTCCAACCATACAAAATGCATTGGCACGTGCCATGGTCGGTGGCAGTGAGGAGGTGTGCGGCGCCGTTTTTCAAATTTCGCAATTCGAACGTTTCCCACAAGCAGCGGTGGCAAATGTAAGTGTTCTTAAACCTTTCTCCTATTTTTTATTTATATATGTTTGAATTTTTTAACATTAGCATATCTCGAAACTAACACCCTTCAAAGGTGTTGCTGGCAATAATAACTCCACAACTGACAGCGATCAGTGGCAAAAGTTGAATATTATAATGAAAAGTCACAAAACGTTTGTGGGCAAGGAAATGGAAGAACGTCTAAATGCGCTTATTGAACTGATAAGCAGCGCGCATCGTAACAATCAGTTACAGAATGTCGCAATGTCACAAATTATTGAGTTATTCAATTACAAAAGTGAAATATTTAGCTGTTCTGAGAGTTGCATGCAAAGACGTTTGGAAATCGCTAGTGAAGAGGTAAGTTTGTTTTTGTTAGGTTATGAGTATCGAATTTCCTCTTGTTACAATCTTTTATTTTTCTAAAATTTTAAAATTTTGTTTTTTTAAAATTTTTTTAAAATTGTTTTTTATTTTTTTTATATGTTTTGATATTTTTATTTTATATATTTCTATAAACCTTTTTAATTTTTTTTCAGTTTATTTTTATTTTTTTTTTTGTTTGTTTTTTATATAATAATTTTTTATTATTTATGTATTTTTTATATTATTTTTATTTTTTATTATTTATTTATTTTTTATATTATTTTTATATTTTATTTATTTTTATATATTTTAAATTCATTTATATTTTTATATTTTTAATATCTTTTTCTTTCATATTTTTGTTTTAGATCACAAATTTAACACAGCGCATCAACTTGCAAAATGCTGAGCTGCAAAAGTATGAAATGATGAATTTTGAGCTGCACGTCAGTCAAGAGGGGTAAGCTAAACTAACGTAATGTAAATAATAACTGTTATTTAATGTATATCTGCACACTCGTTCACAGCTTACAAGCACAATGTCAAGATTTGAAACAGCAAAAAGACAATCTGAAACACAATTTGGCGAGTTTGATGAAAAAGTTGTCAGAACAATCGGAGTCGTTGCAAATAAGCGAAAAGCGCTTGACCGTTAAAGTCTCCGAAGTTATAGGTAATAAAGGAAACATATGTACATATGTATATATATATATATCATATTTCTTGTTAATAATTAATTAATTTAAAAACTCATCAAAACTCATTTTCTAGTATTGCAAAAGGAGAATGGCGAGCTGAAGGAGGAACTGAAAACAAAGACAAAGGAATTGGAGAAAATGCAAACCAATACCCGAGAAAATGTAAATATTAATTATTCTCGTTTTTGAAATTTTTGAATAAAATTGTCTTTTTGTTTGTCGTACTTTAGGCAACACGCATAGAAAAGTTGAAAAAGTCGATCGTTGCCTTCGAACTAGATATCAAAGAAAAATCACGTCTTATTGAAGAACGTGAACGCGAATTGAGCAAAACACACAAGCTTTACGAAGAGCAGAAAGAGGCAAAGAAGAAATCCGACGACGTTATATCCGTGTTGGAGGCGCAAATCCAGGACAAAAATGAGCAAATACGCAATTACGAGTTGGAGCTGAGTGAAACAGAAGAGTTGCGTAAAACTATTATGAGCTTAATGGAAAGTAAAAAACCAAAACGAAAAACGTAAATCCAAGAAAATTTGATTAGGTTTAGTATTATTAGAAATATTTATTCCTTTCTGTATAGAAAGTACGGAGAGAGTGAAAGTTGTGCGAAATTTTCGGTGTTAGAAATTGTTTTTACAATAGTAGTTCGGCGCTTATATTACTAAGTACATATTTAGTTAACATTTTAATAGTACATATACATACATATATTACTTTTGCATATTCGATTTTGCAATGTAATAATGCACATATTTCATTTACATTTTTATATATATATATATTAATCTGTCAAAATAAATTTTAACAACATTCTTAACATGCATACCTTATATGACTCCCAAATGTTTTGTAAAATGTTTGCAAATGTGCTTCTATGGACAGCACCGCACACTGTTTAGTATCACTTTTTGTTACGTTGTAATTGTTAAAGCTTTGTGTTTTTTGTTTCTTTTTTTTTTGTTTTGTAAGATTAGTATATATTGCAAATTAAATTAAAAATTATGTTAAATTTTGCTGCAAGCACTGACAGCGTTAGCAGCAAGAGCGCTGAGGCTATGCTGCGCGCAGCCGCGTTGCCAGATCTTCTTTCCACATCGCCATCACTGCCACTGATGGGACGAGATGCGCGCTTCTCCGCTTTCTCACAGAGCGTGCCACAGTTGGCGTACTCGCATATATCGCAAACAACGGATTTTGGCGCACGGTAAAATTGACGCGCGCGACGAGCTGCGTACGATATAGTATATAATTATTTATCGACCAATATATGTACGTATTAGAATATTGAGTTTGTGTTCTCACCATTATCATAGTAGTCGTACATGACTACTGGCACCAGCTGATGACCGGTTACTTTTACAGTTTTATAAGCATGCAA